TTATAACTGGTCACCTTCTTCCTCTTCCTCATCGCCCTCTACTTTCCAATCCGAGTGGCGACCCGCACGCGCCACTTACTACGCGGCGACGGACCCGCGTGACGTTGTCGGTGGCGCGTGTGGGTACGGTGATTTAGAGAGAACTGGATATGGAAAAGCTACCGCTGGGTTAAGCACTGTGCTTTTCGGTAAGGGTCAGATCTGTGGTGCTTGTTTTGAAGTGAGGTGTGTGGAGGACTTACGTTGGTGCATTCCTGGGACTTCTATTATTGTTACGGCGACGAATTTTTGTGCTCCGAATTATGGGTTTGAGGTAGATGGAGGGGGGCATTGTAATCCTCCTAATGCCCATTTCGTGCTGCCCATTGAAGCTTTTGAAAAGATTGCTATTTGGAAAGCTTCTAATATGCCCATTCAATATCGCAGGTTTGTGTTGTCACACTACTAGACTTTTTTTAAAAATATTCAACTGCTTCAATTATCACTGCCTGAATATTACAACTGCCTATGCGCACACATGCATTATTTGCACACCCTTTTCTAACTGTTTAGAATTGACACTGGCAGAGTTAAATTTGGCCATTTTGTTTGTCTGTGCGTGTTTAGACACACACTCATTTACAGTAAATTATTTAGTATTAGAATCAAATGGACCTTAACAAAGTGTAAGGGTAACTAATTTGGGTTTGAGGTTTATTTGTTGATTGATTTACCCTTTTACGGAAAAATTGAACGAGACTTGCAAGGACGTGGTAAAAACGAAGGAAATAGAGATATTCCCTTTGAGTAATGGACCAAAATACACATATGAGAAGCATAGAGGGTCCTAAAGATGAATTATTTGTCAGTTTTGTGATGGATTTGGGGATCAGTATATCTGATCCAAAGTAAAATTAACAACATATATTTAAAAGTCTTGCAATGAGGAACCTAGTCATAGTTGTAATTTTTATGTTTCAGGGATGGGCTAATTTGTTTTCCTAATGTCAAGATATGCACATTCTATTTCTATATGAAGTGGTTCGAAAATTGATGATCAGATATTGGCACTGGTTTATGTGGAAGTAGCATGGATTTGTGTAGCTTCATGTAGCTATCTTCTATTTGTTGCCAAAGTTGTCCTGATTTAAATGCGGAGGTGCTTCTTTAAGGAAAGTCGTTACAAACCATGTGGTCGATGCATATGGGTAAATATGGGTATGGTATATCCACGTCGGGGTGTATTTATGTATACATTGTTTAAATCATATACTAGCCTCTCTACATTCACCGTAGGGGCAAGGTCTGCGTACTATCTACCCTCCCCAAACCCCACTTGTGAGATTATACTGGGTTTGTTGTTGTATGAAAGCTTCTTATGAACTATGCAAAAATTACAGCAATCTTGATTGTGGCTGCGACTACCAGGCGATCAGTTTGAGTTTTCTTCATTATTGGATGGAGCTATCTGTGGCACAAGAATCATAACATACCTAATATGGAGATGGATTAATGAATAAGCTATGCTGTGACCACTTGCTATTTACTTATAAAACAAAATTCATAAATGAACAGACAACAGTGGCTATTATCTTACCTCTGCGGTTGGAATGTTGTGAGTCTATATAAAATCATACAGATGGATGTGCATGTATTCGTTCCTGGTCATGTATGCAAGGATTTGTGATCAGGATAAGACTTACAACAAATTGTTATTATCAGTGTACAAGCGGACGATGATAAGGAGATGATCCAGAAGGAGGAAAAAAAGGGAGGATGATGAAGATGTAGTTGAACAATTATCAGGTAATGGAGGAGATTTGAAAATCTGGTGGAGTTGTTGATAATAGTGAAGCCAAAATGTAGTTGACTACTCTAAATACTCTGGAAGAGCAACTAGGAATCTAGATGGATCCCTTTATAGGTTGAAATCGTAGGTAGAGACTGTAGGAAGAACAAAATATAGGGAGGAATTGGGAAGAGTGGACTTTTCATTAGTTACCTGCCTGTTTTGATATGCTTGTAACAGAGAGATTTGGAGCACCAGTTGACACCAAGGTTGCATCTGAAAGTAAGGCTCCTTGCGTCTCAAACTCTACTAAGCTGACTACTAAGCTGACTTCTTGATAGACTATGGTAGCAGACTATGCTAGCGTGGAAGGAAATGAAGGTTTTGGTGATGCATGGATCTGACCTTGGTTCAGTTTTGGATAACTATTTTTCGATAAACACAATTTTGTAAAGGAAGTTGTGTGGTTAGATTCGCTTTCAAATTGTTTTGGAAAATATTTGTGTTAGTTTTTATAAAGAATTAACTTTTGGATTGTTTTTTGGTTTCCAGGAAATATTTTGGTTTGATTCAGGAAACAATATATGCTTTTAGGACCAGATGACTTTGGTTTTGACTTTTAACAAGATTTGTTATGCCTAACGGGCCTTTGATCAAAGCTACGTATAAGTTGTCAAATATTAGGATTTTAATGGATTACATTTGCTGGCATATTGACCACTGTAGTACTTGCATTTGTTCTTACCATAGTAGTTGCTCAACGAAAGTGCCACTTTTGCTGTACATTGATTCGGCATATTGAATTGAGTTGACTTGAAGTTTATCGAGCTTTCATTTCATGATTGTTACCAAGATAGAAAGATCATGCAGAGAAACTGCTTTGGCTGATAGCTTGGATTTCATCAACAAAAATTTAATATAAAGACTCTGGCTTCTTCTGTCTAGTGGTACTCTGAACTAAGTAGGCCATCTCACGGCCCCTCTTTTTTCCTAACTAATTGGGGTAAGATGTTGGACAGTATCAAGGAGGATAATCAGTGTATAGTCAATGGACTTGACCTTTGAAGGTCAAACTGCATGCTCTGTTTCTGACGTTCAGACATTAAAAATTACCCATAATGTTTCCCTGGGATGTTCCCCTTCTGATCCAATCTCAAATGAGGCTGTAGATTCACTTTTTTCTTATCTGATGAATCTACATGTTTATCTCCCTTTTTAGTTAGACAATGCGAGTAGTTCTTAGAATTCCCTTGCTGATTCTTCCCTGTATGAATACCTAACCATATGCTTTCGTTTCTTAATCCTGAACAGAATAAAGTGTAGAAAGGAAGGTGGAGTTCGATTCACTATGGGTGGTGCTGGCATATTTTTGTCGGTGCTAGTAAGTAATGTTGCAGGCGCAGGTGATATAGAGGCAGCAAAAATTAAGGGTTCAAGAACAGGTTGGCTTCCTATGGGTAGGAATTGGGGCCAAAACTGGCACATTAATGCTGACTTGAAGAATCAGCCACTTTCGTTTGAGATAACTAGTAGTGATGGGGTCACCTTGACATCTTATAATGTAGCTCCTAAGAACTGGAATTTTGGTCAGACGTTTGAAGGCAAGCAGTTTGGATCTTAGAACTCTTGCCAAAATTGTATCTAAATCCTCATCTTCCATTTGGGATTGGCCAAGATTGGCTGGCAATGTTGGGGCATTTTTGTTCGAGTTGTTCATGTTGGACAAGTGACTACCTGATTTAGATGTTGCAGAGCAAAGCTGTGCGATTGTGTTGTATGTTATTCTTCTATTAAACTCCTGTGAACTTGAGTGTAATCAGAGAAAGAAACTTGTCACTTGGAAGGCATCGTTGTTCCTATTTTGCAATATATGACTGCTTCTGAAAGTCTTATTTTTATTTCCCGGATAAAGAAAGTAATATAGTAATTAGATCATGTAATGCAAAGGTACTTCAAAAGAATTGTAATCAAGCAACTGTGTGCCGGTCACAATGTTGCACACCCTGAATCAAAGTGGTTAGAATTGTTGTTTTGTAGAATAAGGATATTGCTTTTTGAATTTGATGAAATCTATGAAAATATTCTCATGAGTCATGACTTCGGTTTCAAAAGTCTTTCAGTGCTTATAAAAGGAGAAAATTGTTTCCTTGATATTATAGATTTTTTGTCAAATGATTAAAACGCTCTCCCTTAATCCTATCTACTTTAGGTAATGTATCAAAGGCACAAGGCTATAAATATATACAACCTGTTAAATTAAATAGTGTTATAACATTATTTTTCATTCATCATAACACCCAAAGCTCCATGTTGCCATTTTCCTTTTGTAGTTTTCCTGAGACCTGGCATATGGCAAATCATGCATTTTATCAGTTTTAGAAGTCAAGTCAAGATTGTAATCAGAACTCTATAGTTTAAGACAAGTAAATGTGGAGAGGAATGAGGATCTACGTTCACTTGGTACTGGCAAACTGCAAAATGGCAAAAATTATCATTTTCTATTAAAAAGTACCAGCTCACAACAGTATGAAGAAGAAAACTAGGCACACGTAGTTTGCTTGATGAACAATTTTATATATCTCTAAGAGCCAATTCACTGGCAACTTCTCTTGTTATCTTTCTAGTTAGCACAGAGTAGTTTAACTCAGTCGTGTTATCTTTCAGAACCCAATAGGGGGGAAAATAGGAAAATAAAAGGAAACCAGGGATACTGATATGGAGACTTCTCTCTATCTAACCTTTTTTGCATTTCTTTCTCTTCTTTTTGCCATCTATTTTATTCCGTTGGCAGCCTCAGATCCATCATACCGGAGTTTTCTTCAGTGCTTATCCAAACATTCAGATCCATCCGACCACATACTGTCTAGAGTGTACACTCCAAACAATTCCTCATATAAGTCTGTGCTACAACACTATATCAGAAACAAGAGGTTCAATAGATCAACCACTCCAAAGCCGGACATTATTTTCACTCCATTGCAAGAATCCCATGNACTCCTTTGCAAGAATCCCATATCCAGGTTGCTGTCATTTGCAGCAAGAAAACTGACAAGCACCTAAAGATCCGAAGTGGAGGGCATGACTACGAAGGCATTTCTTACGTTTCCAACATCAGTTTTGTTCTCCTTGACATGTCTAACCTGCGTTCTGTTGATGTAGATATCCATAATGAAACTGCTTGGGTCCAAGCTGGTGCAACTCTGGGCGAACTTTATTACAGAATCTGGGAAAAAAGCAAAATCCATGCCTTCCCAGCTGGAATTTGCCCAACTGTTGGTGTTGGCGGACACATAACTGGAGGAGGATATGGTAACCTGCTGAGAAAATATGGTCTGTCAGTTGATAATATGATTGATGCGCACATAGTAGATGTTCATGGTCAAATTCTGAACAGAGAATCAATGGGAGAAGATCTGTTTTGGGCGATTAGTGGCGGGGGTGGAGCTAGCTTTGCACTGATAACGGCCTATAAAATCAAGCTGGTAAAAGTACCTGACATCGTTACTGTTTTCCGAGTAGTGAGGACCCTTGAACAAAATGCAGTTAACATCGTTTACAGGTGGCAATTCATTGCAGAAAAGATAGATAATAATCTCTTTATAAGGTTAACTCTAAAACCTATGGATGACAAGCAAAAAGGAACTAAGACAATTACAGCATCATTTGTAGCATTATTTCTAGGAGATTCCAAAAAACTTCTATCCGTCATGGATAGGGATTTTCCTCAATTGGATTTACATATTGAGGATTGCAAGGAGATGAGTTGGATAGAATCTGAGCTTTTCTGGGCAAGTTTCCCTGATGGAACACCGCCTGATGCTTTACTCAACAGATTGCCTGGAGCGGAATTTCTGAAGCGAAAGTCAGACTATTTGCAGAAACCCATTCCCAAGGATAAGCTGAAACATATATTCGATAAAATGATTGAATTAGGAGACATAGAGTTAGTATTCAATCCCTACGGTGGAAGGATGAGTGAGATCCCAGAATGGGAAACTCCATTTCCCCACAGAGCAGGAAATATATTTAAACTCCAGTATGCAGCAAATTGGGAGGAAGAAGGAAAGGAAGCAGAGAACTTCTATTTGAACCAGACCAGAGTATTGTACAACTACATGACTCCTTTTGTCTCAAAATCCCCGAGATGCGCATTTTTAAATTATAGAGACCTTGACATAGGGGTAAATCATAATGGAGATAACCGCTATACAGAAGGTCGTGTTTATGGACTCAAGTATTTCAAGGGTAATTTTAATAAATTGGTCAAAGTCAAGACATTGGTCGATCCTGATAACTTCTTCTGGAACGCACAGAGCATCCCACCTTTAGCAGCATAGAGTACAACTATAAGGGCAATCAGGACGTGATGATGTATGCGCAACCTTGAGGTGTCACTATTTCCATAAAGCCATTTTATTTTGGTATATTTCATTCTGTTGAAAGATTAGTTCTAGAGACAACCTTCTATAAAATTTGTATTTGCAACTTCCTTTTTATGTTGAATCCAGTTTGCTTCAAGGGACTAAGATATGCAAGCGACACACATCTTATCAGTTCTCATACNGTTAAATTAGGGAGAGGGGTAAGGGTTTCCCAGTTCATGCTCCTTAACTACCTTATTTCCAATCAAAGGAGAAATTTTCACATCCCATACTCTAGATAACAACTTCCGTGAAAAGCAACTACATCAAAGCAAAAGAAGCTCACAGGTTTATGAGCAGACAGATTCATCCAGCATACAGTATTTGCAACCTCTGCAGGTCACTGCATTCCTTCGATTATTATAGGTGCAAGATGAATAGAAAAAAGAGATTACGGCTTGTCAGTTTATGGTTTTAAGTAGAGAGAATTTTGGGTAGATTGATTAAACTACATGTTCTTTAGAGTTCAGTTAGTGCTATTGCTATATCAATAAATTCATTATTACTTTTTAAGAAATATACGTGGGTTTAATAACAGAATTCTGAAAATGTCTTTAGCCAATGATCTTCAAGTAGCTAGAAATTTACTAAAATTTGGAGCTCATAACCACTGTTTTAAAAGGCTTTTTTGGACTCGCCTCGGGGTTCGCTCCGGGGCGGGGCACTACTAAAACGCCCTGAGGCTCACGTGTGGGGCTTAGTTCTGTTTACGCCCCAAGCGCCCGACTAAGCACCCGAAACACGCCCAACGCTCAGTGCTCGGGGCTCGCCTAACAGTTCCTAACATAAATCATGCGTCGTATTCCCTAATTAGCTTTGTCGACACTCAAAATTCCTTAACAAATAAACGACTAAAGTCCTATTCATCCATCTAAATATGAAGTTTGAGAGTAATTCAAAATAAGGAGTCATAGTATTACATATTTATATATTTACGTATAAGTAGGGTGAATATCAAATGAATATTTCTTCTGAAAATAAATAGCCCAAATTAATATCTTCATTTACTCTAGCTCGTCATATCTTAGTTCTATGTCTCTGAAAATTATCAAACTTTTATTATTTTACCATTTGTAAGCAATTTTATATTTACTCATAAGAAGTAATAATTTAAATTATAGTACTAATGAAGTTTCCTAATTATTAACTTTTAGGGAGGTAAACTGTGTAGTTTGATAATATTTTTTATTGTGATTTTTTAATTGATTTAAAGATAAGATGTTATAGTTTATTTTTAACTCATAATAACTTGAACATTTGCATTTTTTATAATTATAAAAAAATGCTAGATATTTTATTTTTTTATGAGTTATTCTAATCTTTTTAAATTTTTTAAACTTTTAATGTACTTTATATTATGCTATTTATTAATTTATAAATCAAAAAATTAAAGATCCATGGGGCTTACGCCCTATGCCTCGGGGCTTACGCCTCGCCCCACGTTAAGTAAAACGCTCCGCCTCACGCCCCTGCCTTTTAAAACACTGCTCATAACTACAATGCAGGGACTCAAGTGTGATTAAGTTGTATCGTGCAACTAGTTTCCTATAACGTTGTTATGAAACTGACTATAAACATACATGCCTGGAAAGTAATTCTAGTTTAAAAGTAGAAGCATCAAATGTATTAAATACCCATATAAAACTTAGCTCAGACTTTCCAACAAACAGAACTATCGAACTACCTTTGGCTCTGAAACAGATAAAAGCTGGAAAGTAAAATTAGCAGCTTATCTTCCACCAATGCATTCTATGTAAGGAGCTAGAAAATAAAATAATTCCACTAATTGACATAAGATCGCTTGGGGGTAGCAGCAACTAATTACGGAGTAAAGTTGAAATCTGATGAACTGCATAGGAGGTGATAGCAGATTGCTTAAGATGGAAATTGGAATATAGCAAAGAAATTTCATTTTATACTTTTACTTGGATATCTATACAGTCTAAGTATCTTGGATGTTTGGACTACACTATCCACAATGATGACACAGTATAGCAAGATTTTAAAGTGTATAAATTGAGGAGCTGTTTAACTTGACGGGAAAGGAACAAAAGCGCACAAAGAGAATCACAGATATGTATGTTAAAATATTTCACTAGCTTCAGGAGAAATTAGATTAACTTTGTACGGGATGCAAGAGAAAAACTGAATATAGGTGCAACTAGTATGATATACATTAAAACCATCAAACATCTATCAGAAACATTGATGTGAGTCTCTACACATGTTCACATTAAAATTGGCAGTGAGACATTAGGGGTTTGCTCCAGTATAAAAGTTGTGAGAGTATCAGTAATCATACAATTGAAGAAAGAGGGGAAAATGAATATGAACCTCCGTATGAATTACCATCAAAAACTTCTCGCTACTGATCTTCAGTTGCTGAGTGTAGCACCAGGAAAAGAATCCCGTATTACAAAGAAAGCTCTAGCAATTACAGAGCTAGTTCAATTACCCTGTCCCTGGCTACATTACAGCTTCTGATTAGATTCTATAAGCAATCCATTTAGCATTACATGAACTGCAGCTTCATAGACGACCCCATTATAATGCATTCCATCAGTAGTACAACGAGCTCCACAACTATTACTCAACGCATGAGTGTCCAGCAACAAAAGGGGCCCACCAGATTGTCGCAGCAGCTTACTGCTATAAAGCTCATCAGTATAAGCCTGCCACATCACATCAGTCATCTTCTCTCGCTTCTCATCCGTCTTCAACATCGAATTTATCAACTTTGGCATTCCCAGCCAAAAGAAGTTGGGAGACCGAATCGAAACTAAATTCATGCCAGCTCCATCATTAGCAAAATCTGAAGGTACTGGTAGCAGCAATACAACCAAATCCCGCAACAACTTTAGGGAAACACCAAAATCAGTTGCATTATTTACATGTAACATATCCCATAGCCCTGCCCCAATCACAAATACATCAGGATAACTAATTTTTTCTTCAAACCCCACAACCAAATCAGTCAAGTTACTCACATAAGGTGCCCAAATAAATTCCAACTTCATCCCAATCTCATCGATAAACACTTTATAATCACTATGCCTCTTGAACAAATCCCCCTTAATCACCCCCATTTCATTTTCCCCCAATAACAGCTCCAACAAAGAAACTACAAATAACTTTGCTTGTGAATCCCCAGCAACAACAACCCATGACCCATTAAACAAATCTGAAGCATCAAACTTGGTCAACTTCTGGAAATCACATTGAACAGGTTCAGAGTCAATCCACTTCCAAGAAATGGTATTTCCCACACTAGTATTCTCAATATTATTATTCAATTCTTGAAAATCAAATTCTACTTGGTGAATTAAAGAAATGCAAGAATCAAGATTTACACTTGATGATAAGGGAACTGAACCTGGTGAAGATAGCATTAAGGAGACTAAAGGGAAATAACGGGTCAAATGAACACAAACAGCAAGGGTAATAAAGAGGGCACAGCTGAAAAATAACATTTTGTTACGGCTCAAGTGCCAACCTGCCATACCTATAGGGACAAAGAGTACAAGAAACGCTGCCAATAGTCCCAATTGGACAGCCCCCCACATTATATTCTCTTATTTTTCACTGTTAAATCATTCCCATTTTGCAGGAAATTATTTGAAAGGAATAAAAATTTGAGCTTTGACAGTAGATTTTAATAAATGTGAGGTAGTCGAGATGGTATGAATAGTGTCTGAAGGAAATGGAAGAGGTGATAGGCTGATAGCTATAGCGCAGCTGTGTGAGAAAGAGGAAAAAGAACAGTTTCCAAATGCGGAAATGAACACACGGAAAGAGGAAAGGAGGAAATAACAAAACACGCTCGCGCACCCACAAATAATACTCTACTCTGTGTTTTTTTTTGTCTATATAGGTTTGGGCGTGTGAGACCGGTTTTATTTGTAACTCTACTGTCATCAATAGTTTAAATAAGCCCTCTATTATACTATTAGAGCATTAAAGCCCCTGCTATCTTACTATTAAACATAAATATCCTTATTTTAACAGATGAGCCACGTGGCAATACCAAACTCATCCGGTTAATTTTAATATAGATCCGACCCAAACCCATTAGCCGATCCTAAAATACTAGACGCTTCACCCTTATTAATGTGTGAACCCTAATTTGTTCACTCATTTTTGGTTCCAGCAATAGAAGCCCTCTGTCCCTCCCTCTCTTCCACAACTGAAATGCTATAACTTCTCATTCTATTTCTTTGTTCTTCTTCGTTTATCAGATAGTCTTGGTTCAATGTCTAGTTCTAGTGTTACATCGAGAAGGAGGTGCTATTGTGGGAAGATTGCGAACAACTTCACTTCGACGACTACAAATAACCCCGGAAGGAGATTCTACAAGTGTGCTAAACCCGAAGTAAGTTTGAATTTTGCTTGTGATTCATTACTCGTCGATGCATTTAAAGTTTTATTTTTTCTGCTCTTTAACATAATTATCGATTGTATTTGTAAGAACAAGTCACGTGGATACTGGGAATGGCAAGATGAAGCCCTCCCGGACAAAGCGTTGATAGTAATCAACGATTTCAAGTCTAAATTAGATACTGCCAATGTCAAAATCAGGACGCTGAATATGTTGTTGGATGCGTGCAAGCTTGAAAGGGACAAATTGATGGTAAAAGTTGATGTTTTGGAGGCTATAAATGATGTTGAAGTGAATAAAGCAAGGGAGATGGAAGTGAAAGTGATGCAGATGAAGATATTCATTATGGTTGCATTTGCACTGTTAGTCGAATTTGTTGTGGCATTGTTGATGAAATAAATTTTGCATTTTGTGTAGTGTAGTAGGGTTTTGATGAAGTTAATTGTTGTAAAATCTAGATTTTCATGAATGTTTTGTGTTGGTCAGCTTGGTTGTAATACCTTATATGACATGTTAATGTCGATTTTAACAGAATATGGCACAAATATGGTCAGCTTGGTTGTAATACTTTTCATTTTCGGATTTATTGTGTTGGTCAGGTTGGTTGTAATCACTAATTATAGTTCTTCATATAGCATGTTAATGCCTAGTTTAACAGAATAATGTATATTTTAATAGAAAAAACTGGGCAACTATGGCTCTAATGCAGTAAAAAATTTGGCAGTTCACTAACAGTAAAAATCTGGGCATCCACTCTAATGTAGTAAATTCATTCTAAGATGCAGTAATTACAGAACATGAAGTTCTGAATATAGAGCAACTTTAGAATAGAATAATGACCCTAATGCAGTAAAAAACTGAGCAATTCACTAACAGTAAAAATCTGGGCATCCACTCTAATGCAGTAAATTCATTCTATGATGCAGTAATTACAAAACATGAAGTTTTGAATATAGAACAGCTTTGGAACAAAATAATGACTCTAATGCAGAAAACACTAGGCAGTCAGACCACTAACAGTAAATAACTAAGGAGTAACTTCACTAACATTAAACATGCTGTAACAACCAATGCCGTAATTACATATCAGAAGTACCGTCAATGCAGTAATTACATATCACCAAAAATAATAAAGATATATAGTAGGTCAAACTGATGATTGGATGTCATACTATAATCCCAAAAACTAACACAACCCAAATCATACTATGACATCCAATTCAGTTACCAGTACCAATATTAACAAAACATTAAATAGGAGACTGTCATTAAGCTTGCAGTAATTACATCCCAACATAAACACAAAACTACAAAGAAAAACTTGATCATTTTCCTTTTCTTATCTTCAGCTTCCCACTCTTCTATTGCCTTTGATTTTCTAACTGATTTGAAGTTGTAGCTGCTTTACCCTTCCACATTAGGCCTGCTGGTGAATATGGAAGATCTGTGGGTTCACTAACACCAATGTGATCACCAGTAAAGTTGATTGATCTTGTCCCAGATGGTAAGCTTACCTGCTGCCTCAGTTGAAGTCTTGTCTTGACTTCTGATATCACTATTGGCCTAACCACAACATCTTCATCATGTTCCATCTATGAAAAATTTGGAACCATACTTGATTGACCAACTCTAGGTGTAGGCATGGAGCTAAATCCATTTTCCTGACTTGATTGAGTCATTTGTGGTGCTGAACAATGTATTTTATCTTCTGTTTCAGAATCTAACAAAGTTCTTATCCTTTTCAAAGGTTGGTTTTCCTTGCTTAGCTGCTTTCCCTTTGGTTGCTGTTAAAAAATAAAGTTAGAAAACATAAATAAGTACAAGTTCAACAAATATGCAAATTGTAGAGCACAAGTTCTTGCATTATGGTTGTCCACATTTGCCGCAAGTCACGACTCTAACTTTTTTGGACTGTATCCATGTTTCTTGCCTTTTAACCGTCGCATATTTCTTCCTATCCATCTTAACTTTTGGCCAGCCAGCCTGTCACGACCCTAAATCCACTAGTCGTGATGGCACCTAACTCAACCCGCTAGGTAAGCCAATTAACCACTAACCAGTTTCAATAATAATTAATAAAGCGATTAAGTAAAGAAATATCTGAATCTTATACATTCCCCAAGGACTGGTAGTACAAATCATGAGCTTCTAAGAATAGAATTTACAAAGCTAAAATAAAATAAATACATCGTCTGTTTGAAAAGTACATAAATAGATTCTTGTAAATCTAAGGCTACCATGAACAAAAGGCAGCTACAACCGGAATGCAGGTACGTCTTCAATTCCAGCTCCCGTCGAGTATATCAACATCAACATCCAATATCTACACGCAAGGTGCAGAAGTGTAGTATGAGTACAACCGACCCCATGTACTCAATAAGTAACAAACCTAATCTTAAGTTGAAAGTAGTGACGAGCTTGTACCAAGGTCAGAGTCCAACTTCTATAACCAACAATAGTTCATAACAACATAAAACAAGTAATACCAGAAGTAACTCAACGATCAAATTCTCAACAAAAACATGATTTCTGAAAATAGTTTTGCCTTTCAAATACATCGATGAAAACCCGAATCGTTTTCCGAAGTTGTCAAAAATATGAATAAGTTTGAAAACCATAATATTTCCAAAATCCTTTCAATAATAAATAAGATGTTTCATTTTCTTTCCAGATAACCAGTGTAAATCAAATGCATCATTATGCCCATCTGTCAATATGTGTGAGAAATTATGAATGATGTGATACCGTACAACATGAGAAAAATACATCTCTATGCCTGTATGTCATGTGTGCATGTCAATGCAATGTATCTCAGAGATGAACTCAGGTACTCACACTCTCACAGTACTCAATCTCACTTTCTCACACATTCCACTCATTATGCTCAATCACTCGGTACTGTATATGGCCAATCCGGCCCAGGGAAGATCCATCCCGGAATATACACATCAACTGATCATCAGTTACTCAGTACCGAGTAGGGCCAATCCAGCCCGTGAAGAAGATCCATCTCTAGGTATATAATACTTCGGATACGATCTATGTCCAGGGAAGATCCATCCCTCAATAATATCAACCCCGCTCACTGGGGGTGTGTGCAGACTCCGGAGGGGCTCCTTCAGCCCAAGCGTTATAAACCGCACGGACAACTCACGTGCCATAGTATCAATATCAGAATCAATCAGGCCCTCGACCTCACTCAGTTATCAATCTCTCCAGTCTCTCTCTCACGGGCTCACCATGTCAGGAAACTATCCCAAAAATGATGATATGATGTATCAATAAATAACAACAGAGACTGAGATATGATATGCATATGACTGAGTATGTAATGCAATGAAAGAAGATAACTCAACAACAAAAATCACCTTGGTGGGTCCCAACAGAATAATCATGTAGCCTAAACATAGTTTATAGCATGAATCACATTTTGATAACTCTAGTACGTAGAGATTTCATGATTTCAGACAAGTTCAGGTAACTACACAGTACCACAGAAATGACAGAGTCACAGCTCACACGGTGCACGCCCACACGTCTGTCACCTAGCATGTGCGTCACCTCAACACCAAACACATAACACATATACTCAGGGTTCATATCTCAGCTCCAAGATTAGAAGAGTTACTTACCTCGAACTAGCCGAATCCAATGTCGAGCAAGCTAAACAATGCTCCAAAAATTTTACTCAAATCCGACTCCAAATCGATGTTCAAAACTCCAAAAATTCATATTATGAACTTTAGGCCAACACCCCCAATTTCCTCTTTAAATTCATCAGCCAATTGCTAAAAATAAAGATAGATTCATGGAATATAATCACAAGGGAGTCAAGAACACTTACCCCAAGTTGTGTGGAAAAATTCCACTCCAAAGTCGTCCAAACCGAGCTCGAAAATGCCCAAAATGAGAAAAATCTCTGAAACCCTTGTTTTAACACTGCCTAGGCATTTCCGCACCTGCGGTGCCTGGGCTCGCACCTGCACATCCGCTTTTGCGGACGAAAATGCGTGCCTGCGGACACAGCCAGCCTTCCAAATCCTCGCATCTGCGGACTTGCAGATGCGCATTCCCCTTCGCACCTACGTACGCCACAAGCCAGCCCCAGTCCCGCATCTGCGCCAACCCCGCTGCACCTGCGACATCGCACCTGCGGCCAAGACCCTCGCAGGTGCGATCACACCAGAGGTAGCAGTTCCAGCATTTTCCTTAAGTCCGAATTTGATCCGTTAACCATCCGAAACTCATCCGAGGCCCCCGGGACCTCAACCAAATACACCAACAAGTCCCATAACATAACACAGACCTACTCACGACCTCAAATCACATCAAACAACATCAAAATGACGAATCACACCTCAAATCAAAATCTATGAACTTTGAAACTTCAACTTCCACAACCGATGCTGAAACATATCAAATCACATCCGATTGACCTCAAATTTTGCACACAAGTCACATTTC